TTTAAAGCTCTGTACTTCTGCCCTCACTGGTTTGGCTTAGTGGACAGAGCAATTGGGAAGAAAAGAAAAGGCATGGCAAAAAATAACGGGGCAAGCAGACCCAAGGATCCCCAGTTCGGTTCCGGTCAAGAGCTCATACCGTGGTTGCAGGCTCCTCTCTGCCCTGGTCACGCAGGAGGCAATCGATCGATGTGTTTCTCTCACTTAGATATTTCTCACTGTCTTTCTCTTTCTCTAAAAATCAATGGAAAAACATCCTTGGGTGAGGGTTAAAAAAAATAATAATAATAAGTGATGGCAGGCTGCCTCAGGACATCCCACAATGGCATAGAATTGTTTCAAGCTAAAATCTCCTGAGAAGGAGCAGGAATAAAGGGAACTCTCTGACTCTCCTTCAGCCCTTGAAAGCAGGCAATAAATCTCATGTGATAGGTGCCCTCCCCACTCGTGAGGGCTGAGAGATGGCAACCTTATCACAGAGTTATAAAATCCAGAGTTGACCTGCTGCTGCCAGAAATGCAATCAGCACTGTCTTCTCCACCTCGAAGGCAGGGCAGGAACGAAAGCGATTTCCTCCAGGTGGCCTCGGGAGTCGACAGAGAGCTTGGCGGGAGAGTGAGAGAACCCCCAGCCTTTTGTGCAATCCCCGGAGCCCCTCGGCTTCTCATGACCACTGCCCGGAGTGGCCCAGCAGCCTGTCTTCCAAGCACCAGGGATAAGGGCATCTTAAAGGCGGGAGGGACCAGGCGGGAGTGGCTTCCCGGCCACAAGTAGGACCTGGTTTCAACACCCCCGTTTCTGAGTTTGCCGACCACGGCTCTGGAAGATTCACTGTGCAGCAGGGTTAGGCTGGACGGGAGGGAGAGAGACGGAAGCTGAGGAGATTTTTCTTAAGTCATCTCGTGGGCCCCTGCCACAAATGGAGCAATCCCAGACAGAAGGTCCTCTCTCCTTTTCCCAGTGAGAAGATTCGAACACAGCTTCCGATCTGATGGAGACACTGACCCGAGGCGATGGGAGGAACCAGGCTGCGAAGCAGATACTTAGAAGCCAGACTGATTGGAGTCTCCATTTTGAGGGCAGCGAGTGCTCCGGTCAGATGTGCGTTTTAGAAAGGCAATTCTGTCAGCAGCATGGAGTCTGGATTAGAGGCAGGTTGGGAGGAGGCAGAGAGGTAAGGAGACTTCTGCAGAAATCCAGGAGGCGTGGTGACCAAGGGAAGGTGGTAGTTGTGATTCACTGAGCGGAAAAGGCAGTTGGAAAGTGGAAGAGGCAAGATCTGAAAACAGAGTTTCTGTTTTGAGCAGTTTGGTGAAGAGTGGGCTGTGGACTGTGAGTTGCAAACCCACAGATGAGGACAAATGCACAGGGCTAGGAAGTGGTATGAGGAAGGGAGAGAGAAAGGCAGAGTGTGGGAGAGAAAGGATGTTACAGCATTGTGAGCAGAAGAGTCAGGAGGAGTAGCTGCTCAGGAGAAGTAGCTGAGGTGGGGAGAGGCAGCTCTGTCTGGGGAACTTTACTACCTCCTGCCCCTCTCCTACCAGCTTAGGTTTCAGCACTGCCATCAGGGTGCCATCAGAATGACTCTCCTTGCTGCTCTGATTATCCCAGGGGGAGCAGGAAGAAGCTGGCAATTACTGCTCCGTAATTTCATCTCAGGAAAAGCTGCAGCTCCTTCTAAATGAATCATAACATTTCATTGACAGGGGGGGAAAAAATTGAACAGAATGAAAACAATCTTGTCCTTTGAAGACAAGAATACACAAAAAGTCACTGACTGTAATCGCTTCCGTCTCAGCGGCCATCACCAAAGGAGAAAACGGCTGGGAGATCATTGGATCAGGAATATCAGGTGATCAGTTGACCTTGCATGGTTTCAGCGCTGAAAATCCCGCATCCCACCATCCTTCCGAGGTCACCCTCCCCGGGAGTTAGAGGGTCACAGAGGTGAAGGTTAGCGGGGCTTAGCCAGGAAGGGCGAACGGAAGCACGGCAGGGGAGGTGGGGCAGGAAAAGGGTGAGCTTCCAGTCCTTCGTCCATGTATCCAAGGACTGCTTGGGGCATTGGCAGAGCAGAGAGGTTCCTGGTTGCCATGGTTTCCCTCCCCTGTAGGTCTTAGCAGCAATTCTGAGGGGTGCAAGTCCAATCCTTCAAATCCCATAGAAGTCTCTCTTTTTTCTGATCTTCATTAAAGGAGCCCTATCACAGTAGCTCAGAGTCGCCCGCTAGGGAGGTAGGAGTAGAGAAGGGAGCCTGAGCAACACACAACCCCCCCCCAAGAGCCCCAGTTACTGCGCCACCACCTTAGAGGTGGGCTCAGTGTTGTGTTCAGCTCCATGACAACCTCCCATCCCCACTCCTACCCTACGTGGCTGAGTCTCCCAGCCATGCCAGCCCTTCTTGCCAGGAGAGGGGTACCATGCTCTATGCTGGGGAAAGCACTGGATTTGCAGACCAACTTCCCTCCCTTACACCTGCTCCATCCCTTACCGTTTGAGTGGACCATACATACTTTCATGGCTGTAACCTGGCGCTAACAGTAGTATTCGCTTTCCCACCTCACAAGGCTTTTCGGAGGAGTCACAGGGATCACTTATGTGAGCGATCTTTGCTTGAACATGAAGAAAAAAAAAAAAATCTAAGCATCTCTACAACCACATGTAAGGTCTCAGTAAAGATTCTCCGTAACTGTCCGTATGTTTGAAACCGATGACTTTATTGACAAACCGATGACTTTGCGATAGAAAGTGTTATGCTCATAGGGTGATAAGAATCAGTTCCCACACCACATACACATGAAAAGATTGCCAGACAAATCTCCAGTAGCATTCCAGGGATGGTCTTGGTGGCATCCAGATTGCTCTGCACAGGGGCGGGCCACCTACGCCATCTATCACCTTCTGCCCCGGGAGTGAGAAGCTGTCTCTCTGTAACACGGAGACACCCTCTCCAGCAGATCGATCCCAAGCAACTCAGTGATGAACAACAAGGTTGTGTGGAGAAAGAGGCTTAGCCTGCGGCTGACAGCAGTGCCGGGTGAAGGAACACCCTCTACACACACACAGGGCAGATGCCCGGGGACAGAGAGCCCTTGAACTTGCAGGAGCCACGCCCACCTGTGGCAGCCGGGGCTCCTGGTCGGTAATGCCGGTGGGGACATAGGAGTCACAGGTTTTGCTTTTATTTAATTTTATTATTATTATTATTATTATGAAACATTTCAAAACATGAAGTTGCTGGAAAGCCCTTTCTCAAAGAATCAGAAAGTGACAGAGATTTGAGGAAACTGTCGTTCTGAGAATGGTGAACGTCTCGTGTGACCAGAGTTCAAGACAGAAACCTATCCTGAATACACAAGTGCGATCAGCCCTCTAGCCGGCTTGGCTCAGTGGATAGAGCGTAGGCCTGTGGACTGGAGGGTCCCAGGTTCGATTCCGGTCAAGGGCACATGCCCGGGTTGTGGGCTTGATCCCCATCATCTCTGAAATCAATAAAGAAATATATCACACTACAGAGCGATTCACAACACACGAGGCCTCAGTGTCTCCGTCCGTCTCTGCGTAGTAAGCCCACGGTCAGGTCCGGGATATATGATGGCGACTGGCCAGACGCCAGCCTCTCAGCATCTGTGAGGTGCCTGGCTCCAGGTTGGCATTTAACGTTTCATGAATAAACATACAACCTACTGAAGGAGAAGAGGAGGAAGTGACGCTGCCCATTTGTGTTCGAGGCTAACAGAGTGGGCAGGTAAGGAGACAGAGGATCTGGACTGGAATCTGCTGATGCCCATTGTCTGGACCGTGTTATATAAGCACACAGCAGCAGGCTGCCCATTTCTGCTACCCATGCAGCTTACTGGTATCATTTGGTACAACCTCAGGCCTATCTTTCCCAAGCCCTTGCTACCCTTGCTACATGACTTTGGAGGCAAGTACTCCATCTCATCATTTAAAGAAATTCTAGAAATGCGTATTCTTAGAAAAAAAAAAATTTTTTTTTCTGCATCAGCTACCTGATTTCTAACACAGTGTATGTCAATCTAATGTCAATGTGATTGCACGTCCACCAGGTACTGACTTTCTAAAGCGATTCCTCTGCAGATGGCAGCTTCCTGGGGCTGCGTAGGGAGAGGGTAAGGGAAGCCCTGTGTGCAGCCAGCCTGGTCTGATCATCTCCCGCTGGTGAGCGGTGTCCGCTCTTTCAATAACAATTGCAAATGCCCCAATTGCGAGAGAGAACACTGGAGAACACGAGCAAAGGGACCTGGAAAGCTATGAAAGATGCAATCTCTGGCTGAGCCCGCAGGGGTGTCCTTGGTTGGATGCACCGACCACAGCAGCCGTGATATGATGGTTCAAAGGCCGATGTGGACGCCAGCATGGGGGTGGGGGCATTGAAGACTGAGAAACGGGTGTGACTGCATCATAGAGACCACCCCCCAAAGACACACCGGGGTGTTGGCGGGCTTTGAGCTCGGGGAAACAAGAATGCGGGGAGTTTCCCTGTCTCTTGATTTCTCATGCATCTTGGCTTCACGTTGGGTGAGAGCCAACGTCTAATCGCACACAGCAAGCTTGGTGATGGCGGCATTCAAAAAGAAAGGAAAAACAGGCCTGCCAGAGAGGATGCACATTCCAGTGGCCAGGGGAGCGTGGAGCTGACTTGTGACTCCCACCCCTTTCTACTTTCTCTGCTTCATCAAACCGGCCTGTGGCTTTAGCTCAGCCCTTCCAAGCCAGACCTGAGCGCAGGCATTGCCAGGCAGCAAACTGAGCTGCTCATTTGCAGCATATTAGCCTACGTGTCCCTGTGCCAACACATTTATGCGAAAACCAGGAGGCTGGGAACGTCCGGAGAGCTCGGGCAGCGGTCGGTTGCTGGGCCAGACAGTCTCCCGAGGCCCTCGGCAGCGTCCACGTTCGGCAGGGGCACCCTCCTCTTCGAGGTTCCTCATGGGATCCATCCAGTAGGAGATGGGCTCCAAAGAGGTCCGTCTGCCCTAGCGGGCACAGTTCTCCGTGATTCCCCGACTCCCTCCACCTGCCTGGGGCTGCTCTGTGCCGCTGATGGTGACTTCCTTTGCAGGCATTCGCTTCGCATCTCGTTTAGCCTGTTAAAAAGGGCAGCACAGGGAAGTGAGTGCCCGGGAGACAGCCAGAGGCCTCCCATTGCATTCGTCTCCCGAGAGGGTTACACACACACACACACACACACACACACACACACACACACACGCACACACGCACACATGCACATGCAGAGGCGGGAAGGATGGCCTCAGGGAACACATGTGTGTGTGCTCCTTCTCGTAGGCTTCTCTGGGAAATTTCTCACACCACAGAGCCTGGCACGGGGCGTGCTCAGTACAACACTGCCAAGGGAATGAACGAATAAGCAGAGGTCCATCAGAGGGTAACGTGAAAGGTTCCACAGTTGGTTTCAGTAGTTAAGGGTTGGGGCTTTGATTTTTTTTACAGAGAGGAAGGGAGAGGGATAGAGTTAGAGACATCGATGAAAGAGAGACATCGACCAGCTGCCTCCTGCACATCCCACACCAGGGATGTGTCCACAACCAATGTATATGCCCTTGACTGGAATCAAACCTGGGACCTTTCAGTCCGCAGACCGACACTCTATCCACTGAGCCAAACCGGTTTTGGGTCACCTGAGACTTTCAATCACTTGGTGAGAATCCTGATTGCAGACCCTGATTCTAAGGAACCTGACCTAAGGTCATACTCTATAGGTGATTTAAAAAAATTTTTTTTAAATTTATTTCAGAGAGGAAGGGAGAGGGGGAGAGATTAAAACATTCAATGATGAGAGAGAATTGTTGATCAACTGCCTCCTGGACACCCACCCCTGGGGATGGAGCTTGTAACCTGGGCCTGTGCCCTGACAGAAATGAATCGTGACCTCCTGGTTCATAGATGGGCGCTCAACCACTGAGCTACACTGGCCGGGCTAGGTGATTTGAGGGATATTTAAGGGTGATTTTGACTACATGCAATGTTAGTCTTATTCATTGGCTGCATGAGAAAGGATTTCACTGTTCTCCTCTTCACGCCCCCAATGCCCAGCTCTGTCTGGTACACAGTAGGCTCTGTGTTGAACTCTGGCTGAATACATGGATGAAGGGGCATACAAGCGTCACCTGTGTCCGTGTCCCCTTGCTTTCACAGCCATGGTCAGCGCTGTTTCAGGAATCAGCCTACACTCAGCTCTTTCACGCCTGAGCTGGCACTGGGGCCAGCAGTGCCGCCTACGGATTTATGTTTCCCTAACAGCAGCGAGGTCATAAAGCCCCACAGCCACACTTGTTTCCTAAAGAAAAGTGTGGCAATTATGGGGCTAGTTCCATCTGAGCTAAGGTGTTCTCGCGTGGAAGCGCTGAGGACTGGGCCTGGCGGGGAGACACAGAGGCCTTATTGAAGCGGGCCAGGTTGACGGCAGAGTTTCCCCTAAACGGCAGAGAGCTTTCCAGAACGGAAATGTAACGTTTCTGAATGGCCTCGCTGCTTTCCTCCGAGTGGTTGGCAAGGTTTCACAAACGGTCAGTAAAGACCGTACTCAGAAAATGTTCTGCTCGCTATTTCAGTCTGTTTTTCTAAGCTTAAATATCTGAGCAAATATTCAATAGTCGGTTGATTCTTAATTTCCCAGCCTGTTTGGGTAAAGAGTCAAAGGCTATGAGGTAGTCATTCCCAGAACGGCCAGAAAACATGTGTGGTGGGAACCTCAAGCACAACGGGGCGGTTTCTTAAATCTGTGCAGCAAAAGCCTGCACAAGGGAACTATTCAAGGGATACGTTTCGGGCCAGACAGACCTGGATTGAGCACAAGGCTTTGCCACCCATCCCTTTGCTGTCACAGACCTGCTGCTCTAAGCTTTGAAACTCAGTCAGTCCCCTTCCCTGAAATTGGGGAAATAATACTCGATTCTTAGTGTGTTTTTTTTCTGAGAGAATTATGCATGCCACTTAGCATGAATAGGGTGACCAACTTCTCCAGGTCTACCCAAGACTGACCTGTTCTAAACGGAAAGTCCCAGGCCCCGGGCAGGTAGCTAAGCTGGTTAAAGCATGGTCCCGTACACCAAAAGATTTCAGGTTCGATTCCTGGTCAGGGCACATACCTAGGTTGTGGATTTGATCCCGAGTCAGAGCGTGTATTGGGAGGCAATCAATCGATGTTTCTCTCCCTTCCTCTCCCTTCTTCTCTCTGAAAATCAACAAGAACACATCCTCAGGTGAGAATTTAAAAAACTGGCAGTTCCCTATTCTGGGAGCCTTCCCAGGACAGTGAATCACCCCAATGATAGCCATCAACATTAATTTTACTCGCAAAAGGATGCCAGGCAAACAGGCCAAATTTATGTAGAAAACTCTACTTCTTCTGAAACTATGACTATTGCTACTACTACTCTCCCGCCCCTCTGTGTGTGTGTGTGTGTGTGTGTGTGTGTGAATCTTCACCCGAGGATATTTTCCCATTGATTTTCAGAGAGAGAGTGGAAGGGGAGGGGGGGAGGGGGAGAGACAGAAAGAATCATCGATGTGAGAGAGACACAACTATTACTACTTTTAAATAACATCAATAATCGCAACTCCAGAAGACATGCACTTGGATCAAGTACCAACTGGATCAAGTCTCCCAACGATGGGCACAGAAGGTTCCATGCCACAAGCAAATCCATTCTCAAACAATGACAGGGTATTGTATTTCGAAAATTAAACACCTGGGATGACACTGCGTTTTCTCGGAAGCATTTTATGAAGAAGCTTTTGCATCTGAGGCCTCAGGGGGAAGGTGCCCACCCCTGTAGCAGCAGCTCCCCTATTCGGGGTCGGTCATCACTGCAATGTAGTTACAACCTGGTCACCTCAGGCTTCAAGCCCAAATGAGAGAAAGAAGACAAGAAGGGGAATTACAGCCAAAACCGGTATGGCTCAGAGGATAGAACGTCGGCCTGTGAACTGAAAGGTCCCAGGTTCGATTCCGGTCAAGGGCATGTACATTGGTTGTGGGCACATCCCCGGTAGTGGGTGTGCAGGAGGCAGCTGATCAATGATTCTCTCTCATCGATGTTTCTAGCTCTCTATCCCTCTCTCTTCCTCTCTGTAAAAAAAACAACAATAAAATATTTTTTTTAAAAAAGAAAGAAAAAAGAAGGGGAACTACCGTGTTTCCCCGAAAATAAGACATCCTCCGAAAATAAGACCTAGCGCATGGAAAGATAAGACATCCCCTGAAAACAAGATCTAGCGCAACTTTGGGAGAAAAAATTAATATAAGACACTGTCTTATTTTTGGGGAAATAGGGTACGATGCCAGATTATTTTATCTAGGAGTTCTGAGAACTACATTGCTCTGCCCTCCTGTGAGAAAAAAAAGCAACGCAGATACACGAAATAATTATACCATTCTGTTCCTCCGGGTGTGTGGCATTTTGTATATCCCATGTGTTTTCCCCTCTGATGTGGTTTCCAGCCAGCCAGACCTTTTTATGTAGCATCCCACCCTCTGGACTTAATGACAGGAAAAGAAAACATGTCCTTATTATAATTACTGACTTAAAAAAAAAAAAAATCTCATGGCTCCCAACTCAGTGATGACAGAAGCCTGTTTGGCACCTTGAGCTTTTTCAGCGGCCTGCACATTCAATCCTTCTCCCACTTCTGAAAGTCTCATTTTGTGAGTTTCAGCACCACCGGCTTGATAATGGGCCACCTCCTGCTTCTCACCCCGTTTTACAGCTTTTCCATTCTTCCCTGGCCTTGTTTCAATTTCTGCAGGTTGAGCCCTCTGTGAATCATTGATTTTAGTCCTCTTCCTCCTGCCTCTTTAATGAGGAGTCCTTCATAGGCTGAAGTCTCTCAAGGGGAACCAGATTGACTGTGATATCTCCCCCGTAGCCTCAAACCCAGATGGACTTTTTTTTTCTTCTTTTTTCCCCTCGGGGTTTAAAGTCAAGGCCTCTGCTCAATAAGGTGGAAGCGGGGATGGGCTGGCTGCTCCGGGGAGGCCTGGACTCAAGACGGGCCTACACCTGCTCAGCCTCTTTGCTCACTGTCCCCCAAAATGGAAACAGACGTTCTCAGGCTAACGCTGACTTCGCAAATATATCTATGCCTAACATGGTAGGTCCCCTTTCAGTCCCTTGCAGACAACTAAGAAAAAAAGGCCGAGATTACAATTTGTCAGACAACAATTTTTCAGTGTAACTAGTATCCTAATCATAAAAGCAACACATAGTTATGGTAAAGGAAATTCAGAGTGGAGAGGGGCACAGTGAAAAGCAACACTTGCTTGCCCTGTCCGGTGTGGCCCAGTTGGTTGACTGTCATCCTGTGCACCGAAAGGTCACCCATTCGATTCCTGGTCAGGACACATGTCTAGGTTGCAGGTTCGATCCTCACTTAGGGTTCGTATAGGAGGCAGCCAATCGATGTTTCTCTTTCTCTCTCCCTCCCTCTCTCCCTAAAATCAGTAACAACTTTCTTTTTCTTTTCTTTTTTTTTAAGTAACACTTGTTCCTATGCTCTGGTCACCCTTGGTCTCCCCAGAGGTGTTCGGTGCGTGATTTTATGGAATGTGGCTGGATTTCCTAAGATAATAGGAATGGAGGACCATCTCACCCTCTCTCACACTCTGTACTTCCTGTTTTTTAACCATGGCTTGATTATACAGAGTGTCCACATTATCATGATCTCTGAACACATAATAATCTGGCCACTCAGTATATATATATGTATATTAGAGGCCCAGTGCATGAATTCATGCATGGGTGGGGAGGGAACATGGGTGGTTGGCCGGCCTGCCTACTGATCAAACTCCTGGTTGAGGGGGCAATTTGCATATTAGCCTTTTATTATATAGGATATACACTGAGTGCCCAGATTATTAAGCGTTCAGAGATCATCACCATCTGGCCACTCAGTGTATATTTATTATTCACTTGCTTGCTTATTTTCTATGTCCTTATGAGATGCTGAAAACACAGGAAGCTTTGGTCCAGAGCCTACGAGACAAGCCGGGAAGAAAGAGTATGGCCACGGCCCTGGATGGATTAGGAGGAAAGCCCAGGTCCTTGGACAGGGTCTAGGTAGC